CATGCACTTCAGCCTACAACTCCCCGGCTCCCAAAATCTGTGGCTGATGTTGATTTATTTTGCGTGGATGTGTTTGTTTTTATTTATTCCATTAAAAAAAAAATTTTTGTTTAACTTTTAAATATCTCAACTGTTTTTGTCAGTCATTCTGAACAAACTCTTTTGACTGTCGACGTGTTCAGGTGAGATTTGTGGCTTCAGGATCCACGGGCAGAATGTCCCCTTCGAGGCAGTGGTCCTGGACAAGTCCACAGGCGAGGGGGTTATCAGGGCCAAGGACAAGCTGGACTGTGAGCTACAGAAGGAGCACACCTTCACCATCCAGGCCTACGACTGTGGAGAAGGTCCTGATGGTGCCAACATGAAGAAATCACACAAGTGAGTGAAACTACCTGTTCAGAAGTCTCATGATCCCTGCGTTTATTTCCATCTGAATCAGGATTATACACATACTGTATATCTTACCTCACAGAGAATGAGAATGAAAAAATAAATTAAAATGAACATCTACCTTTTTGTATTTTAATTCTATAATTCAGGGTGTTGCCTTAGCAAGAACATTGTATGGTTTAGCAGAACTAATTTTTTTTTTCAAGATTCTTTTTCATAGCAAAATAAAACTACAAGGTTGTATAAATGATATTTTTGTGACTGTGGAAAAAAACACAAGTTTTTATGCTCATTAGTTGATTGATTTAATTGATCTTAATGTTTTAACAACTGTTTTATGTGTTTAAATGTTCTTGATTTTATATGTACAGCACTTTGTGGCAGCTGTGGTTGTTTTAAAGGGCTTTATAAATAAAGTATTATTATTATTATTATTATTAGTTAAATGGTCAAGGATGTCCTGTTCCAGCTGATCCATATAATTATCTACAATTTTTCTGTTCATCATAACTCATGCGGGTGTTTTCCCTCATCTATCACTGAACAAAAGGACTTTAAACAAGTTACATAATGGATATCTTCTCTCAAATAACTGATTGAAATGAAGATCAATTTACTGTCATTACTTATGACATTGTGTTTATGGTCTGTAGCTGGAGAGATTCTCACTAAACAGAATGTTAAGAAACGTGTAACAAGTAGCATTTGATATTTGGGAGAATTTTATGCTTCACTTTGCTACACATAAGAGCAAATCATTTCATTATGCAAAACAAGACACTCTGTAAATTACTTTGAGCCGTGGAAAGTTTTATGAGATATTTGTCAGGCCTTGAAGGTGAATCAAAAATACCTTAATTAGAATTGAATCATTAGTTTCAATTTAATGAGATCACTTTGTTTTGAATGCTTATAATGCTTTGTACCAACACAGAAGATAAACACATAAGATTCAGTGCAGCGCTGCTTGACTTGCTGCCAGTTGATGTCCTCACGTGTTCTTGTTGCACAGATGATGCACAATAACTGTGCTCATATCCAGCAAATAAATTAATTCCTTTGCTGTCCACATCACAACGTGTTCACTCCTCTTTTACTGTTATTAAAAAACAAACATTTAACACAAACCCAAAGCTAAAATATTATTTTTTTGCTTGTTTTATTTCAACCTAACTCTAAATATGAAAATAACCAGTTGTTAAATTTAAAAAGGTAAATCGTAGTAACAGTCTTTTTAGTTTATTTATCCAAATCCAAAACTTACAGAAACATCTGCGGATGTGAAAAATGCTTTCACTAGTAATCTTGTTCTAATTGACAAAGCGTCCTAACAGTGTTGTGTTTCTGTCAGGGCGACTGTCCACATCCAGGTGAACGACATCAACGAGTACTCACCAGTGTTTAAGGAGAAAACCTACAAAGCCACCGTTATTGAGGGAAAGAAGTACGACAGCATCCTGAGAGTGGAGGCAGTGGATGCTGACTGCTCCTTCCAGTACAGCCAAATCTGCAACTACGAGATTGTGACCCCTGACGTCCCTTTTACTATTGACAAAGATGGTAAAGATCTTCACATGGTGTCCTTGTGTTTTAACCTTTCTGAAAAAATAGATGCCTGGAAGGTTGGGTTGTATTGACATGCATTACAATGTCTATCGATTAATGCAGACACTGACGCTGCAAAGCTGTCATTCAGAATTCACCTCAGGATCATCAAAATGGACTCCAGGATTATTAATATTTATTCATTGAAAAACAGTATAACGTATTCGATATAAACGACCACTGATAACGAGGTCTTGTCAGTATGCTCAGATTTTAAAAAAAGGAAAACTAGACAGATCAAAATTTAAAGGTGGCATGCAGGATTGCTACCTGGAGAAAACTCACAGGGAGATCATGAAAACTCCACCCAGAAAGACCTCAGGACAACAGGGCGATCCTGCCTCCCAGCCTGGGACACAGAAATAAATGACACAAACAACCATATACACTCTATGAGTCCCTGTGATGGACTTGTGACCTGTCCAGGGTGAACATGCCTTTCACACAGTGTCTGCTGGAGATAACCACCAGCTCTCTGCAACCCAGAATCAAGAAGTGGGTAAAGAAAATACACATCTGGATGTTTGAAAATGTAAAGATGCCACTCACTAATAGAATACAAGATATCCTGATGCATGCTCAATGCATGCTCAGAATACAAGATGTTTACTAGGACAGATGATCAGTGTTTAAGGTCAAACTAAAAGAACAAGAGCTGAGTTTCAGTCTAAGTTCATCAAAGCCCACCTCTTTGTTGTAATCAGTTTGTGACAGTGGAACTGTACCTGTACAAAAGTCTCTTAATTTATTTTTTTTGTCAAAACATCATAACCCTGACCCCGTTGTTTTTCATCTTAAGCAGCAACATTTTGGTGCAGATTGAGAGATTTTCTCATACCTGTTTCTTTATTTAAACATATTTTCAAATTTCAGCTTGATAAGGAAGTTGTTTCTTGCTTCATCAGGCTTCATCAAGAACACAGAGAAGCTGAGTTACGGCAAAGAGCACATGTACAAGTTGACCGTGACCGCATACGACTGTGGAAAAAACCGAGCTTCTGAAGACGTGCTGGTCAAGATTAGCATCAAGCCCACCTGCAAACCCAGCTGGCAAGGTATCAGAGCGTACCAAACTCTAGTTGTGTTTGTGTTCAACAAAAGCGACCAGTTGATGCTAACGCAGGTAGTAAAATGACATGCAGCTTGTTTAAGCCTCAAGTCTTTTATCATTCCTGATAGGGATGCATGATATTGGATTTTTGGCCAATATGTTAAAACTTATTTGGCCAATAACCAATACCAATATTTTTTTTCCTAGACCTACTTACAGAGACTGTATAGCTTTTTCTGATGTGGAATTAAAATACTACATTATTCTGCATGGTCTTTGTCAGTTTGGCCTGCTACCAAATGCAGATGCCAAAAAGGGAGCTGGAAATGATGTAACACTATAAATATAATATATATATATATATATATATAACAGTGCCCAGTGAATTATTGTGATGGAATGTCCGATATTTAACTTTATCGCTAATATCTGCCGATACCTTGCAGATAATATTGTGCATCTTTAATTCATAAGTTATTATTAATTACCAAACCACATATTTACTTCTACATTTCACATTCAGTCAGTATTTGACAAAAATCTTGTTCTCTTTTTCTTATTTTCTCAGGCTTCAACAAAAGAATTGAGTATGAGCCTGGCACTGGTAGCCTGGCTCTATTCCCCAGCATGCACTTAGAGACCTGTGATGTGACAGTCACCTCCATCCGCGCCAGTATCGAACTGGAAACCAATCACATTGGGAAGGGCTGTGATCGCGATACCTACTCCGAAAAGTCGCTGCACAAGTTGTGTGGTAAATACCACTGAACATGTCAAATATTTATTTATTATATAAACGTCTATGGCAAATATTTGGCATTTTAAATAATTTTGATAGATCAAAGTACTCTACATAATTACTTATGTTACAAATACATTTCAATAAAAAGCATACAACTGGACACATTACAACAAAAAAACTGAATGATCCACACACAAAATAAGCCCATTCAATGTATTTAACCTATTTAAACACAATATCCTGTTTTGTGTTTTGTTGTTCAGGGGCCAGCTCTGGCACTGTGGAGCTCCTTCCTGCACCAAGCAGCTCAGCCAACTGGACCGTTGGTCTGCCTACGGATAATGGGCATGACAGTGACCAAGTGTTTGAGTTCAATGGCACCCAGGCCATCAAGGTTCCCGATGGTCTGGTCAGCACCAACACGAAGGAGCCCTTCACCATCTCTGTCTGGATGAGACATGGCCCCGGTGCCCACGAGAAGGAGACCATCCTCTGTAACTCAGACAAAACAGGTAAAATATCCAGGACAAAAGTAAAATATCTCCACGTTTTTTTTGTCTGTAATTAACATTAATGTAACTGTCAACATGACTACAAGTCTGGGATTTATTCTAGTGTTTATTTAGAAATGTCGGCTACAAAATGATTTGATTAAATTCTGACTTTCTGAAAGTACTATTTACTTAAGTCGCAATAAACAGAAATGTAAAACGAGCAATTGATAAACATATATGGAAAAACTGCTCCGTGCCGTTCAGAATAACTTGTTTTGAGTCATGAAACTGAGATATTGAAATATCTGGTGTCTAATGAAGAGGTCAAACCTGTGTCTCAGTGCTGCTGTTCATGTGGTGTCTACATATTCTCCTGATTAAAATAGACATTTTAACTCTGGCTCAGACTCAGACCCAGGCTATAACCAGAGTTTGTGCTCAGCTGACAGCCCAACACATAGAAACACACTTCCTCCTTTATTTTCTTTCTCACCTCTGCTGATTACTCACTGACCACTCCAGTTTTGTCAGTTTTAAATTGCAAACTCCTTGATCTTGGCGTGCCCAGAGAGTGAGCGGCTGTTCATCAGCTTCAGTGTGGCTGCTTATATAAGAAGGATTACATCAGAACGGCTGTGCTCTGGACAGGATGCTCCCAAACTCGTGATCTCGACACACCATCTATGACCTCCACTTAGCACTGTCTGAGCCACAGAGCTATCATTCTTAGTTTACTTTAGTTTCAAACATGCACAAGAACAAAAAAAACAAACAAATAAAATAACATGCAATCATACAATTTACTAAGTAACATTACCAAGTAATGTAACAAAAAAATTCTTACATTCTGTGAAATAATGTTGGGTGCTTTAGTAAGAACAAAAGTGTCAGGACTGTAGTGAACAGGACCCAAGGATACAAACTACAAGGACTTGGTGAAAATAAAGATTTAAATGAATAAAACTAAAAAGCTGAGGTGGCAGCAAAACAACAAAAATAAATAAATAAAGAGGATTACAAAGGGAACTGACAGGGAGACAAACGAAGTGACAGACTGATGAGAAAGAGCAAACCAAGAGTATAAGTAGACTGGGAGTGGTGAGATAAGTGGAGGCAGCTGGGAGTAATGAATCTGAGAAGCTAGTATGAGTGGTTAACAGCACAAAGTGTTATTTTAGATAGCATTTTTTAAGTATCAAGGATATAATTAAGGTTTGTTATATTTTTATGCTCTCATAAAAACAAAATTCTTGCAAATCTTTTTTCTACTATGGTTATCTCTATTGTAGTGGTGTCCCGATACAAGTTTACTTTGGGCTGAGTACAACCATTATGGCTGAACTTCTTTAGTTTGTGTACTTGCCGATACTTAGTACTGATAATGAGTAGGTAAGGATTTAGCACCTTAACATTACACTGATTTTATAAACACATTTCTTTTATTCAGAACACAACAAACAGTCTACTGTCTTACCATCACCAGTTTATCTTAAAATATCTGCAAACTACAGACATTTTTCTTCTGTTACTTGCACTCTGAAGGAGGGAATTATGTCACTGTGCATAAAAGTGGGATTGGTCTGGAGTATAAGGGTGTTTTAGTACAAGTACAGGTATTTGAAGCTGGAATTGGGCTCGATACATTACTGGTACTGGTACTGAGACACTGCTACTCTACCGGTTGCTTATTTTGGCATTGATAATCTACAGAAGATAAAGCTACTCACTACAGCTGAACGATTTAAAACATTTTTTTAAATTATTTTTAACTCTATTTGACTCCTTGTTTCTTCTCAAATCATATTCTCTGCAGATATGAACCGGCATCACTACTCGCTCTACGTCCACAACTGCAGGCTGATCTTCCTCCTGCGCCAGGATCCATCAGAGGCTGAGAACTACAAACCAGCAGAGTTTCACTGGAAACTCGACCAGGTCAGCTGTTTCCCCAGACAGAGTTCAGATGATCACCAAAACGTCCAGTTACAGGCTGTCGTAATGTTTGCGGGGCTCTTTGCAGGTGTGTGACAAAGAATGGCATCACTATGTGCTCAATGTGGAGTTCCCTACTGCGTCTCTCTTTGTGGATGGAACCACCTTCGAGCCCTTCATGGTGACGGAGGACTACCCACTGCACGCCTCAAAGATCGAAACTCAGCTCACAGTTGGGGCCTGCTGGCAAGGTAGACTTGAGCTGAAATTTTTAGTTGTATTAAAATGGAGCTATTTATAAAGTTTAAAAGAGATATTTATCACAGAAATGTGAAAATGTTTTCTATTGTTGATTCTGTTTCCTCTGTAATGCTTATATTTCTAATAAGTAATTAAAAAAAACCCACTATATTTTATATATTTTTTTGTCAGAGCTTGTATAAAACAACCTGCATAATATTTTAGTTAATCAACGCTGTATGAATTTGTCTTTGGATACTCAAAGTGATACAGCATGGCCTTTTGTGTAGCATCTGAATCTCTCCTGCAGATCCTCAAACTTCCTTCCTGTCTCTCCCTGCTCTCTCGTTTCCATCCTTTACAGAAAACTCAGGACATGACAATGACACTGAAACAGTCCCTGAGACCACCTCAGGTTGCTCAAGTCTTTCCCTTACTCCTCAGAAATGTCCATGTGTCCACAGTGTCCCTCCATGCTAACTGCTCTACCGCATCCTCATACCATTTTGACTAGAATGAGTCACTCCTAAACATTCTAGATGACAAATATTTTTGTCTTGATACCTTTTGTGGCATGAGAAGGTTTTTACAAGTGGTGTGCTACTACCTGGTTATTGTTTGGTGTTTTCTTCGTCCTCCCATTTATTTGGTCGCCACACTTCAGCAGCCAGGAAGTTTTTTTTATTTTTTTTATTTGTCTTGTTATGTCACAACCAGCAGATCAGAAATCGACACATAATGATAGCTCTGCGTCCACCCTGGCTTTTATTTTAAAGTGTGACCTTGCAGTCAGAAACTCCTACATATCAGATAAACCTGCAGCTGTGCACCATCACAGAATAAATGTGCGACCTTGAGATGTTGAGTTTGACCCTTTTTCTGCAGTCAGTGTGTACACTTGAGCTCATTTTATTCCAGCAAGAAAACATGGAAATGTTCAGTATAACAGATTAAAAGTGTGTATTTTAAACATTTTGTAGGCCTGAAGATGACACTAAAGGTTTTGTAAGACTAGGTTGACAAGAACAAATTATTTTACTGTCCTGCATTATGCACCGTTTGGTTTTCTCTTTATCTGCTGATGCCCTTTCCTTTTCACAGTAAAGTAGCACTTCCCATCATTAATTCAAGTTTTGCATGTGCTGTTGGCTTACATAAGCTCATCCATCATCTGCCTGTCTTCCTCTGGGCCTCAGGCCCTTTAAAGAAGCACATACTAACTTGCATGAACTTCATTCATGCCAGCTTTTCTCATTGAACACAGCATGCTTAAATATTCAGCCTTAAAAACTTTTAAGTCTGTTGAATATGAAATAACTCATTTGTGTGTGTGTGGTTCTGTTATTCTCCTCATCCCTGTCCTGATGGAACCAGGTGGAAATGCCAGAATGGCTCAGTTTTTCCGAGGGAATCTCGCAGGCCTGATCATCCGCTCTGGCAAACTAGAGAACAAGAAAGTGATTGACTGTTTGTACACCTGCAAAGAAGGACTCGACGTTCAGCTGCCTGAGGAGGTAGCTTCAGCTGTCAAGGTGAGGGCAGCACCTAGCAGTTTGAGAATATGTATTTGCTTGTGAACTGTAAAAAGGAAAAAAGTATCACTCTTTATCACTTCAACTAAGCAGACATCTTGCAGCTTCTGGACTTTCAGGTTCTGTGTAATAAAAGAGAAGATTGTTTCTTCCACATACTATAGGTAAACCAGCTTGTCACAGTCTTGCTCACAAATCATTATGATCTCCCAGGTTGAAGTCAACCCCAACCAGTCCTCTCTGACCATGGAAGGTGACGACATTGGTGCCTTTGACAAAGTCATGCAGCATATCTCCTACTTAAACTCCCGTCAGTTCCCAACGCCTGGCATCAGGCACCTTCGTATCTCCACCACCGTCAAGTACGTATCAGAAGAAACAAAGCTCAGATCATCTCATCAACTAATTATAGCCAGGATATAAAACAATAAGTGCACCCTCTTTTTGTTTATTCTTTATGTCTGTAAATTTAATTAAATTTTTACTAGATTTTTTTAAATGTATGCAAATACAACCTGAAACAAACAACAGCGCATACTAGTCTCGTTATTTAACTAAGAACAAGTCAAAATGTTGAAGTGGTGTCTTGAACTAATTCAAAAGGCCACTTTAATGTTTTAAAAAAGGAGGATTACAAGATTCTTAAAGAAATCCGTGATTTCTTTTTTTTTGCTCATGATTCCTAAATCTTCCCCAGATGTTCCAACGAGGACGCCTGCGTAATCGTTCCAGATGCTGAAGGTTATGTGATGGTGCTGCAGCCGGAAGAACCAAAAATCAGCCTGAGTGGCATTGACCACTTCGCTCGCAGCGCTGCTGAATTTGAGAGCCCAGAAGGGGTGACCCTGTTCCCAGAGCTTCGTATTGTAAGCACTATCACTCGAGAAGTGGAGGCCGACACAGAGTCTGAAGCTGCAGAGGGAGCTGACGATGACCCCACCGGTAAAAGACGTGCACAACGAACCTTTCATTTTCTTATAAAGTTAAGGATCTTCTACAGTGTTGTCATCAAAATTAAATTATCCAGAGTAAATACAAAACTCAGCTTGAACACAATAATGTTTTATTTGTCGCGTTGGTAAAGTGATCTCAGACGCTGCGTGGGCCTGCAGGAACAGTTGATAGCAGTCTAGATATACAGTAACCAGTTACATTGAGGATTATGCCTGGGGGGAACGGGGGAATTGGACAGACGCAGTGAGAGGGAGGGAGACGCAGAAGAGATAAGTTGTTTATTTCTGGGAATGGTAAGCGACCAGCCAAGCCATCTGTTCGGCTTTCGCATGATTTAAGCAGAGGAAGGACAATAGACGTGCTCTGAGGCCGATACAGATACAGTAAGACACGGTGTCGTGTCGTGAGCAGCAGGCCATATGGGACAGAGGGTTTAGGGAGATCAGATGCTGTTACCTGCTTTAGCCTGCCCCACCTCTCAGACCCGACACATTAAATGTAGATGTTAAGAAATGTTTAACAGTTTTCTATTCAAGTAAGAAAGTGAAAATTGTATGCACATGCAATATTTTTACAGTGTTTAAATCACTGGAAAAATACTCAACTGAAAAATAAATGAAACAAAACATGTTCAGATTGTATAATCCAGGAAAATCTATTGGTGTCTGTTAAGATCTTAAGTTTTTTGGGCATTCCTCTGGCTTATTACAAATATAGAATTCCATGAAAATAATTTCTAACGAAGCAAATGTTTTATTAGTCTTCGTATTTGGAAAGCGCAGTCAGAAACAGCACCATTTTTTGATAGAACTTTGTGAAACTGCGCATATTTATGCCCTTGAGAAAAGTCTCTAATCAGCGTCATTCTTTGTTTACTGTGCTTTCAGTCCAAGAGACAGTCGTGTCGGAGGAGATCATGCACAACTTGGACACGTGTGAGGTGACCGTGGTGGGAGATGAGCTGGACGGAGAGCACGAGAGCCTGGAGGTGGACCGCTCTCAGCTGCAGCAGCGTGCCTTGGAGATGAGCTCATCAAACCTGGGCCTTGTCATCACCGGTACACCTATAGCACTTGTCTCCATATATTACCAAGAAAATAAAAATAAAACTTACAGAAAAGAGGAGTTTCACATAAAACTAAGCAAAACTCACTTGTAAAATACAATAAAAATAGTAATATTTGCTTGTAAGATCTAGAAATATAGAAAATTGCTTAAATGGAATCTGCTTCAAGTTCACTATTGATAAACTTGTTGATGAATAATAACTTGATGGAACAGTTTCTGCAGATTGCTAAAGGTTTATGTCTTCCAGGTGTGAACACCATGGCCAACTACGAGCAGGTCTTGCACCTTATCTGCTACAAGAACTGGCACACCGAGGTGCTTTTTGACAGGAAATTCAAACTGGTCTGCTCCGAGCTCAATGGTCGCTACATCAGCAACGACTTCAAGGTTGAGGTACGGCTGAGCTGTTCTGTCACACTAAAGTGACCCTTTGAAACAACCCAGGACTGCACTGTTTCATGGTGTTACTTCAACTTCCTGGTGTCAGTCCTTAAAATGTAAACCGGCTCATTTATTCCAGGTGAACGTGATCCACACGGCCAATCCTGTGGAGCATTCGAACAATGCCATGGTGCAGCCCAACTTTATTAACCCAGTTCATCACGCCTCTGTGGATCTGTCTGGGCACAACTTGGTCAACGCTCACCAGGCCTCAGGTACAAAGAGTCCGACATGAAATGTAGCAATTTAAATAAAAAATAAAGATTTTTTTGTTTGTTTTTTTTGTTAAATTAAGACTGTTAATTTTTTATGGTTTGAGTGTAAAACATTTTAATGAAACATGTCTGCAGTCTTATCTGCTGGGGATTTGTATTAACAGGAGGATTAATTTGGGACAGAAATGTCTCCTTCCCCCAGTCCCCAGTTACATGTTGTGTTTTGTGTGGGATACAGTCTTGTGCTTTATTCATATTTACTGGTCTTATCACCCTTATAAAATGTCAAGGTTCTCCAAAACAATCATTGACTAAACGTGTTAGAAACTGAGTTAAATTGAACTTGTTGAAAGGCAGTAAAATGCTTCTCCCTGCATGGTGGTGGTTTCTAATCTGAATTTGTGTCAGTGGTATTAAGCAACACAAACCTCCAGAATTTGAGGCCAAAATTATGTCAGAGCTGAAATAAACAACAGCAAAATGTCATAAAATACACAAAAAAAAGTCTACCGTTATTACTTTAAAATAAAAATTTGATACAGTTCTGATGATAATCTGACAACTTCTTAATTTATTGTAAACTGATATTTACTGGGAAATGATGAGTATATAATTGATAAAATAACAAAATAAAAGCATGATAGGACGAAATAAAAGCATCATGACCATGCGTTTTACAAAACTTAATAAAATCATAATTCAGCTTTTAAAACTGCTAACTTATTCTTTCATCGTATGTTAACGCTAATGTCTAAATCAAAGCAGTAATCTACTTATTGAGAGCTGTAGAAAAGTAATAGTCTGTTTAATAGCAAGTGTTGCTGCAGACGGATTACAGAACATTAAGCAGAAGTAGGGCGTGCATGAAACATGAGTATTTTTTCTTTTTTATGTTTATGGCACAGGTTTAGGGATTACATTTGTGTGCAGTCTGACATTTGTACAGATCATGCTCCGACCACAACCTTTTATTCTGGCCTCAGTAATCTCACCAGGATTGGCACGGCACAGAAGAGACTCATTCCTGGTAATATGAGATAAAGTGGCGCAGTTAGGTGCAAGACAGACGCTATTTAAAGAAAGACTCACACCGTAAGCTGCCAAATGCATTCATTTGCAGTTCCAGAAGCTCTGACACAACATGAAGCTGCTGCTCCTGAAACGTTCTTGAGCCGTCCCTCATAAAAACCTATAACAATGTTGTTATTTGCAGATATTCTCATGTGCAACTTGAACAAAGTTCCCATCCGACCTCTCATTTTGTGTTTGCTTCTTCTCAGTGATTCCCAGTGCTGCCACCATTGTCATTGTGGTGTGTGTTAGCTTCCTGGTGTTTATGATCATCCTGGGCGTGTTCCGCATCCGAGCCGCACACCAACGCACCATGAGAGATCAGGAGAGCGGCAAGGAGAACGAGATGGACTGGGACGACTCTGCCCTCACCATCACAGTTAACCCCATGGAGGTAAAAGTGTTTTACATTTTAACAAAAACGTTTCCTTTAGTAAATCTTTTTTCGTTTGTTTATGAAACACTTTTTCTGCATAATTAAACAATTTTAAACTTATCGAACAACATGCATTTAATTTTTGTTTGCCGTCTGAGTGCAATCAGGATTGTTGAAAGAGATATAAAAATGCTACTAGATTAAGTTTCATGAGACCTTCTTTGTTGCAACTCTAAATATAGCCACAGCTTACAGGAATACAAATGAGATGCTTCAAAACTGTTGCAGCTCAGACATTTTGTTAATACAGAATACTGAGAACTGAGCAAAAATAAGGGAGAAAACAGCCCTGGCACAACAAACTAAACTTATAACGTAGCAGGTTCTTTTGAAACCAAAACTGTTCAATCTCACTAAAGCCTAAGACTGAGGTGGAGGTAAGATCACATCAGAGCCTCCTCTGATTTATAGGATTTATACAGGTCCGTCTGAACCTCCTCAGCTGATCAGTGACAAATAAAATGAGTAGAGATCAAACAGGTTAATGATGAAGCATCAAAAAGGAATAAAACTGAAACGAGAACGCAGCGATCCAAAGACGCATTCAACGATAATTTTAAGACAGAAATGACCCAGATATTTTAATTATTTAAACATATATAAAGTTAAACTCCGGTCTGATGAAATAAATACATATCTATAATATGGATGAATGGGAATCAAACCATTGTACACTACTAATTATAAAACAGTATTTATTGATTCTGAGACATGAACATTTAAACAGTTTTAGTCACAAATCTCCTCCGATGTTACTTCCTCTGATCCTGGGTCAGTGATACTCCAGCATAATGCCAGCAACAATAACAAAGCAGAAAGAAAAAAATATTTGGATAAAGAATAGATTTTCAAAAATCTCTCCCAAAAAGTAAATAGACTTGACTTAAAATACTTAATAATCTGTTTGTGATCTCTCCTGCTTTAAATATCAGAATCAGCTTTATTGTCATCGCACCGAAGCACAACAAAATTACATTTCAGTACAGCCCGTCTGAGTAAAACATAAACAACAGACGTGTAAAGACGGCGTGTCTGAGGCTGCAGCCTCGTGGGAGGCGCTGCCATTTTCGTTAGATAGGAAAAAAGAAACACGGGGGAAGGGGAGTTATAAAAATATCATATCTCACACTGTGTCCTAGATGGGACACAGTGTGAAAGTTGCAAAAAAAACAACAAACTGCACAGAAACAGCAACATACTGATGACATAATACACACATGCATGAGGAAGGCCGACGAAGGCGGTGAGTTTGTCCGTGGACACTGCCAGATAGTTCCATAGTCCTGATAAGAGGTAGTGCAGTGTCTATCAGCTGGCTCAGCTCTGACAGAGGTCCACAGATGTCCTCAGGAAGGGAGCGGGGAGGGGGACAGCAGAGCTTCTTGTCTAACATCCAGGAGAGTTTGAGATAGTTGGATAGTGAATATTCAAATATATTAGATTTTATTCAGCTTTATGTAACCCGGTAAATCCCGTAGAAGTCACAGATCTCTTTTTCAAAGATGGCCTGGGTCTGAAAACAGTTTAAACATGCAAACCAGAGTACCCAGAGAAAACCCACACAAACATGAGGAGAACATGCAAACTCCACACAGAAGGACCCCAGGCCCAACCCAGGGCTTGAACCCAGGACTTTCTTGCTGTGGAGCAACAGTTCTATCCACTAAGCTACTGTGCTGCCCATTAAGATAAGTATCTCAGAAGCTCTGAAACCTCCAAAATTGTAGATCTACACTTTATGTTTTGTCAGGGATGGAGAATAACCAAAGATTCGCGGACACATACACAAAAACCAGGAACCCGTTCTGTTTGTTTCTTTCTGCTGAACAAATCTGTTTCACAGACGTCTCAGAGGTCTGTTACAGACAACTGGAAAAGGAATTTCTCCCCCCCAAAAAAACATTTCTTCTCTTTTTCCGTCTTTGTTTGTTTTTGTGGCGCAGACGTACGAGGACCAGCACAGCAGCGAGGAGGAGGAAGAGGAGGAGGAGAGCGAGGATGGAGAGGAGGAAGATGACATCACGAGCGCTGAGTCAGAGAGCAGCGAAGACGAGGAGGGCGGGGAGCCGGAGGACCAGCAGGGGACCAGCAGACAGCAGCAGCTGGAGTGGGACGACTCCACCCTCACCTATTAGAATGAAACCCAACATAAGTTCTGATAAACACACACGCATATAAAACGGAGTCACACTCACCGCTTCACGCACACCATGCAGTTTCATGTCTAGGAGCCATGATGTAAAAACAAAACAAAAAAAAAGAAAAATTCCTTCATATATGGTCAAGGCTTTCCTGTTGTTATCTTAGTGGTGGTACTCAGTGTAGTGTATTCATCACCAGACTGCTGATGTTTCAGTTTTTTATTTATTATACTTTAATTCCCTGGAAAATCTTGGCCTACAATTGTCTTGAACTGTGTGAGGAAGCCAACCCTGCACTTTTTGTTCTCTCTCAGACGTCTCAAGGCTTTCAGAAAGAGAATCCTTTGGATTTCCTGATGTATATTCTTTGCTAACGCTTTTTAGGTTTGTTTGTCGTTTATATATATTTTTTATTTTTAAAATAGCTTTTGACTTTCAGTTCTTTTGAATTGTAGTACACAGTGGATCAATTTAACACGTAGCCTGCATTTTCTCTTAATTTTCTTTTCGTGCATGAGGAAATTTGGAGAGTCTTATATGTAGAGAAATGAATTGCTTTTTAATAATCTTGTAAATATGGAGGAAAAAAATGTAATTAGTCATTGTGTTAGTAAAGGCCCGCTGAACAGGGTCCGATATCTAAAAAGACGCAGTACGTAATGTAGAACATTTGTGTCACGCAGGCTGTTAGCATGTCGCTGAATTTCTGCAAAAGCTATTCCATCATGCTTGTACAAAAGTCTGCCTCGTGAGGAGAAACCCAGGACTGTTATGTGGAGGTTTCCATGACAAATTTGGTGTCCATTTATTTGATTTGGTTTTTTTTTTGCTTTCTCTTAGGCAGGGCCGCTCGATGGTTTCATCTTCATACACGCTTAGCTTTGCTTGCACAGGTGGCAATGCTCTACTCCTGGTGTTCATGTTTATTTCAGTAGAGCTCACTGTTGTACAGTAAGGTTTTTTTTTTTTTTTTTGTCAAGCGTAATCATGTTTGGGACAAATGCTAATATACACGCAACATTTGGTGCGGTACTTTGCAAACAGCAGGAAAGCGAGGCTGTTGGTTTCTAAATAAAGCTACTAAAACATTTGGCAGTGGATTTGGACAAGCAGAGGTTTATTTAGAAGCTTTAAAGTCTTTTTTCTTGTTGCGCTGACAAGAGTAGGAATAGAAAATTATGAAACTAAATCATGACAGACGAAGGTTCGGTGGAGACTTGCGTTGCGTTCTGCGAGAGAAGTGAAACGAACGGATCGTTGCAGATTTATTCTTAACGGCACATCTGGTGAAACTTCGAATAATAAAACTTAATTTTTAAATTCATTTTTAAGCTGTTTTCCTTCAGCAAAACTATGACAGACCTTATAAATACCATGTTTTTCGGACTACAAGGCGCATTAAGCGAAACAAAACGGAGAAGTCGAACTTTATTCAACTCATTCACAATAACTCAACGTTGTTCAGTTGTACCACTTAAAACCAGTTTGAGGTCAGTAAACACAACCAGAATAAATACATAAGGTTCACTGTGGATTTTTGAGAAGATTAAAGGATTTTAAGTGCGCCTTATAGTCCGAAAAATACAGTACAGGAAAACACTTTAAAAATGACTCTCCCTGTTTAAACCTGATATATAGTTTCACTGTAGCTCACTAAATTTAAATGTGCACGGAGCTGCGCTGTAGAGATGCTCCAAAATGTTTGTTTACATTTACTTTCCTGTTGGTACAGTTAGTTTAAAACTTTTTACGGTCGATTGGGGAGTGTTTCCAACTCGTCTCCTTTCAGACACTTGTTCGTAATTGTAAATATGCTTTAACAAGCCAGATAACGACGACTTTAATGCTTTACTGTTTTAGTGTTCGACTTTGGTGTTTTAGGTGCTTGGAGCTGCATTAATTAGGAGCAGATTTGGGGCATTGCAGCATAAAGTGACATTAGCAGGGTTAGAAAAGCTGGATTTGCGATTTTCATATTCCACACAACCAGTTTGATGTTTTTTTTGTATGTTGTTTACGGCTTCTTTTAAGGGTTTAAATAACACAGTTGAAGTTGATTATTTTTTTATGTTTATGGTAGAAAAGTAATGACCAGTCTCCCTTTCATGATGACTCTGACTCGTAAAAACATGGGGCCAGGTCTGAGCCGGCTGAGATGGGGAGTGCCTTTTGCCGATCATAGTGTAATTAGCAGGTCTAACAAAAACACTTATTCGCGCTCTTTTTTTTTTTTGTTGTTGTTTCTTTCTTCCTTTTATCCCCCCCGTCATCTTAACATTTGTTTAACGCTAAATTTCCTTACATAGCTGAGAAGACATATTCATTTGGTTTGTAGTCTCGGTAGTCCACCACTAGTTTTATTGGAAGTGCAGCCATTCTGCATAGATGTCATGTGTCGTTGTTGATGTGTAGAGAAAGTAGATCCATATTGTATCTTCTCTAGATATTGTACTGAATCATATTGACTGAAACCACCGTTAAAAGCTGTACAGTACATCATGAAATTGCTTTGGCAGCATACATGGGCATACTTCTAACTGACCTGTCGGTGTGGAGTGGATCGGTGCCCTATTAACTGAAATGTTTAGAAGTGATTTTGAGGGCAGCGTGAAGTTCACGATTAAAAGTATCCTGTCCGTTTTGAATTTCTCGCACCTTCATCATATTTTGTCACAGGTTATTCGGTTTTCAGGGTACAGCGATGCGTCCACGCTGACCCTGATCTCAAGTTTCCACCACCTGCAGTTTAGTGAGTTTCCTGCTCTGATCAGACCCTAAACTGAGCGTCGACCGGTTGGATCGTCACTGTTATACCACTGTAGGAAATCAGCTTCGCATGAGCCGCAAGCTTGTGTTCGATCCTTGTTGAGACGGTGATGGGAAAGGAGCTGCGACACACTACTGATACTCATCTGTTTCACACATCGGTGACACTCCAGATATGACCTTTGTCTTGGTTTGATTTATTTTACTGTTTTTTTTTTTTGTGTGTGTGTTCTCAAACGAATGATGGTGATGTTTTTTAGAAAGGGTCGATGCTTCCTTTGTGCTTTGTTGGAGCTGCTTTCACTTTTCTACCGATCGAAATAAATTGTAGTTAAGTTGATGCTTGCTCTTAAACAAAATAAAGGACAAAGAGATGGGATATAAACTCTGTCTGCACTTGTTTTATTCATCAGTATTCACAGTGCGAATGGACCAGTGGAGCAGAACACGCCCTGGGTGGTGCCACTGAAAGTCTGGAGCAGCAGCGCCCCCTGGTGGCAAAAGGAAATCCTGCAAAACGAGCAGAACTGCTTTGCAGGTTAATAAACACAGGAAAAAAAAAAATATATATATATATATATATAAATTTAGCTCAGATTCAAAGTAACTTAAAACACAAAAAGAAAAATAGACATGGTTACAAAATTAAATTTTTATTGGTCAATTTCCAATTTATAAATATAAAGCTGAATAAACATCTGCTGACTAAAACAGTTTGAAAATAAATTAATAAAAAATAATTATATCTAGAATGTAGCCTGACTTGATTCCCAATGTTTTCCTGTTTTTGATCAATAATAATAATAGATAACTGTAGTGTGTTTGTGTTGACGTGACACAAAGAAACCTGGATAGTTTGTTTTTTCCCCTTTAAAACCAGACTGCACCAAATGTTGATAATGAAATCTGCTCAGAACTGCAATGAATTGAATTTAAAACTAAGCTGAGAACAAATGGTGCGGCTTTAACTGCCTAATTGTATCGTGCTGAACATCTGTTAGAAAACATCTGCATTAGTATTATTCAGCTTTATTTGCATTTTAACGCCTCAGTGTTTAATGACGCAGCATTCACTGCAGACTAAACTTATTCCCCTAAACAGTCTAAAGTTTAAAGACGATAAACTCATTTGAGTCAGGATGAGTGTTGAACACGTTTCATAATGTGACATCTCGTTATGTCGTATAGATTTAAATTACAGATTTACTGAGTTGTTTCAGTTCATTCACTGTGAGTCTTTGCATTTACTTTGGAGGGGGGGACATTTTTTTTTACTTCATTATAAATAACACAAACTTTCTTATTGTGATACACTGAACCATTTAAACCTTTAACTGAGTGAGTCTTATGAGATAAACCTTTGGTGGAGCTAATAACTCAATGGTCTGAAATGTGAACCAAAGATCAAAAAACACAACAAGGTTTTGAGTTGTGTGCTGAATTGAAGAACATAGTGTTTAGTAACAATTAAAAATTGTAACAAGACATACTAGTTCATTACCAAATACATTTACTTTTATAGAAACATCAATGCCTGGTTTTGTGGACATTTTTCTTTCTGCTAAACTGTAAAACATGCAGCTCTGTGTCAAAGTAAACTTTATGCTGTCAGAAAATACAAAATATTAACTTTACTGCAAAGTGACAGTTTAACGAGCACTGGTTCATCTAGTTTCTTGCAGGTGGAGGATTTTTATGAACATTTTAATCTCTCAGACATGAAGTCAAAATGATAAAAACGGTGCTGATATATTTTCAAGCTTTATACAGAAACAGCAGCACAAATCACAGCACAATATTCTTTCTTTGCTGTCTTCATTGGCAGGTTTTTATAAACGCAGCATGAAAAGTGTGGTTTATTACTTATTGATTATTCCCTTGTTGTAACAATACTTCTTGGAAAAATATTGTATACCGTTGTAAAGCCTATTTCTCCTAAATGGTGCCACATTAGTAAGGGAAATGCATTTGGTGGTTGAGCCCATAAATAAATAAAACTTGCCAGATGTTTGCTGATGCACAGCAGCTTATTCTGCTGCGCCTTGCTTTGAGCTTCTGGAGCTCCGAGCACCGTTGGCACCTGAGAGCATGGCTCCTGCTACAGCGGTCCGTTCATGTCTGCTCCAATCACACCACGCTGATGGGACCTGTGCCACAAGGCAACTTCAAGCTGGTGTTCTGTAAAACTAAGTTACTGCATCGCAGTCTGGGACTGAACTCTGTATTTCAAGATGACAACACTCACTGCAACAGTTTATCAGAATCTCCCTGCAGAATTTGGGGGGTACAACCCCATTGAATTCCAGTGGGGTCAGCGTGGGCGTGCAGTGCATCGCAGAGCGACCAACACAATAGGCCACCGCACAGCACTGAGACCAAGCTGTGAGCAGCATGAGGAGGTACCAGGTTGTTGTGGCTGTGTATGGTTCTTCCACATGCTAGAGGCCTCCCTTTGTCCCACCCCCCCCCCCCCAAAAAAAAAAGTTAAACTGTAAACGTGTCTTGTTTCTTCAAACTATAATCATCCATTCCAATAAATCAGACCAAACAAGTAAATTGATTAAGCTGTTCGGCAGAGATCTGACAACTTTTTTATTGGTGCGAACCACAAACTCGACTCTGCTGCTCAACCCAAAAATACATTTAGCTAACAAATGTGGCAACATTCAAGAGGAAATGAACGAGCTTTAGGACAATATAAGATTTATTGCCAAAAAGAATAGTTATAATAAATAAACGATTAAACAAACACAAATTTCTTTACGTTTTGTGCTACGTTTATACATCAAGTCACATCCTCGTACCAACACTAATACAAGTTCACACAAACCTAAACAAATAAAAGACATTTATAAAAGCTGACGGTATAAAACAGTATTATTAAAGAGTTAGCTTCAACAGAAACATTTTAAAAAGCACTGATCATTTACAAACTCTGTAATCAATTGGCACCATTCTGTCTTATTTCAATATTCTACATTGTGTAAACTTGCTAAACTTTGTTTTTTACTCCAGAGCTAGCTAAAGCCAAGATTTTGTCCTCAGAGCCTGAAAAAGATAGAAAAACAGTCATGTGAATATGCATGCAGATAATTAGTTTATTAAACATGAAGTGATTTACGCTCACCCAGGTTTGCCGTCACTTTTTCAAACTGGCTCAGAGTAGCTGTAGCATTTTCTACGAGAAAAGCCTCTTCCTCTGGAGTAAGCTGTGGAAAAATGTTTACAGTTTTACAGCTCAGTCTTGTGTTTTATTGTCAGTCATGTCTCAGCGACTGAATTATTTCATGCAGAAAGAAAGTTTGTGAGTGCGACAGAGAAGCTGGGCAGCAACGACCTCCTCACCTTCTCTTCCAGTTTCTTCAAGGCCATGAGGATTTCCATCTTCTGCTGCGTGTGGACGCCCCGTGAAAGTTTCCCCACCATCACCTCTCGGTCCATCTGCCCAGAGTTTCATACAGCGGTTGGACAATCAACTACACGCAGATACACCAAAATGTTATGGAGCGAATGAACGCCACAGATAAGTACAGGTGCATCTCGAAAAATTAGAATATTTTGAAAAAGTTCTCAAATTTTTGTCAGTCATTTCAGAAAGTGAAACTCGTATATTACATAGATTCGTGGCACAGAGTGAAATACATCAAGCCTTTATTTCTTGTAATTTTGATGATTATGACACACAACGAAAAACCAAAATTCAGTGTCTCAGAAAATTTGAATATTACACAGCCAGCTTTTGGCACCATTGTCAGTGTGGACAGGAGCCAAGTACTGCTGGGAAATTCAATTCAATTCAACCTTTATTTAGACAGATAAATCACATTGAGCCTCGAAGACTCATTTATAAGTGTCTGTTTAGACAGACCAAAAAAGTAGTGCAACTGGACACATGTAGGAATTGGAGGCAAAAACAAACTCCTATCAAACTCTTCTTAAATGAAATCAGCATCTCCATAAAGTTCATCAACAGAAGGAAGCAAGTCCAGTTCTGTTTCACCTCAGTCAGGTAAGACACTTATGACGTTGTCTCTGGTTCAGGAGTGGCTTGACATGAGGACCGAGACATTTGTAGCTCGTGTCTAGGAGTTAATCAGCTGATCAGAGTGTGACACCAGGAGATAAAAGTATTGAACACACTATAATAATGTTCTGAGACACCGAATTTTGGTTTTTCATTATCTGTAAGCCTTAATCATGAAAATTTCAAGAAATGAATGAAATTTTCACTCCGTGTAATTAATTTATATACCGTACAAGTTTCACTTTCTGAAATGATTGATTAAAAAAATTGAACTTTTCGTGATATTCACATTTTTTTAGATGCACCTGTATTAAACACAGATCAGCCACCGCATTAAAACCTAGTGAGCTGCGGTTTTAGCCCGTCTGGGTCATCTAATTGAATTCATTGATATAAAAACACAGAAGAAATTATTTATCAACCAAAGCAGCGATGAGTGATGTGACCCCTTTTAGTTGGTAAACTGGTACCTCGTTGGTTGGTCAGTTTGACAGCTTTACAGTTCTTTACATCTCATAAGTGTTGTAAGATGCTGGATTATATTTCTGGTTCAAACCAGCAGGATTAGTGGAACATGTGTCACATGAGATAATTACAACAAAACAAGCAAGTGTAGAAACTAATTCACTCCCAGCTTCGTTGTTTAAAGTTGTTGGTCCAACTTTACAATGTTCATTTCAGTTTCAGCTGGATTAATCAGCTGATTAATGTGTGTCTGTCGAGTTAGCAAAATACCTCATGAACTACTGGATGAAACCTTCAGAAAGTAATCTTGCTGGCACCTCTACAACTGATTAGCTTTTGAAAGTCAAATGCATTCAAGATGGCTGCCACTGCAAAGCACACTTAAAAACACAACGTAGCTATAACAATTTAGCAGTTATCGAGCTAACATTTGGTGTGGTGGTAGCTGAAAGTCATCCTCAACATATAAGGTCTGGCTAAACTTCACAAGACGTAGGTCACTGGATCCAGCTGACGTGATTGTGAGACAGTCTTGTTCTCGGGGACAATTCATACTCAAAGAGAAACTGTCCTGGTGGCTGGCTAATGACGGATGCATTTTAACAGCCTTAGCTGGCAGCTCCTCAGCAGACAAGAAATGAGAGCAGAGCGCTGCAGCCACTTTTCACAAACACACGCGCCCACAAAGACCTGACCCATCAGACCATACTTGACACAAACCCTGTGAGAAACTACTTCAGACTCAAACACAAGAGTCTATTTTTCTATATTTTTCTCTTAAGTAGAAAAATACACAATTTTCATTACGAATATGTCAACAAAACACACCTTTAGCTTTTCTCATGGACTAAAAAACAGGTTATAATCTGAGGGCTCTTATGAGATCTGGCAAGAGACTGTTTAATGTCATTTAAAGGGTCTGATCAAAACGACTGTCTGCTTCCATTTGGCATCGTAAGATGATCTTTAATTTAAATGTCTGGTGTGAACAGCAGCAGGTGATGTATGCTGTCAAGGGATTTTTAAAGTCAACTTTAGTTGGTCTATGAAAGGGGTCTGCAACCTTTATGATTAAAAGAGCCATTTCTGCTCCTTCACTAAATAACTCACTAAATAAAATGTCTCCTGAGACGCAAAATCTGCTACAACTCTGATTGTCAACTGGTGGTTCATGGGCCACTTAAAGTTTGTTTAAAGGTTGTTGTTTTTTCTGTCCAGTGGAGGTGACATTATAAAGCTAAAATTATATAAGAAATTGCAATATTTATTGATGTTTTTCTGTCTTAAACAAAATAAAAGACCATATTCATGTAAAAAACAAACAAAAAAAAGTTTATACTAATTTTGATACAAATTAAAACCCTGAATTCTGCAGGCTTTGATTCCTCCTGTTTATCTGTGAAAAATGTATTTAAGCATACTAGTTAAAGCATAATTTTAAAATGTGTACATTAATTAAATGAAAAAATATGCCATTTTGTTGACTATGTTATTGAATTTTATAAATATTATAAATTATGTTATGAATTATTGTACTGTAAATGTTTGTCTCGTCTGTCTCTGTGTCCCTGTGATGGACTTGCAACCTGTCCAGGGTGTCCCCTGCCATGAGTCTAACATGCATGTTTTTGGTCTGTGGGAGAAAACTGTAGAGTACACGGGGAAAACCCACGCATGCACGGAGAGAACATGCAAACGCCACCTAGAACGCCTCCCGACCGGGATTCAATCCAGCAACCTTCTTGCTGAGAGGTGACAGCTCTACCACCGTGCCGCAGTAGCTAAAAGGTTAATCAAATAAAATCCTTGTATTAGTCTTATTCATATATTTACAGAACTTTGACATCAAATCTACTAACATTAGCCTTTTTATTGTGAGTATAAAAACCAATAAAAATGTATTTCTGTGTTAGGTTTGGTCAAAGCTTCAAAGAGCCGCTGACAAGGGACCAAAGAGCTGCAGGTTGCAGACCCCTCGTCTTTTTGACAATAACTATCATATACCATATTATAATAATCATATCATATTATAATAATATAATAACTATAATAATCATCATGTACAGAACATCACGTTGTACATGATGATTGATTGTTTTGGATGGGTGTGCTTTGCACGTGTTAAAAGTCTACGTTAGAGATTCCAACAGGTTTGCTTGAAACACAGCAGTGAAGGCTATGGGACAGATCTGGTTGGCCGTAGACTGAGGAAGTCCTCTGGATGGGGGACGAAATGTTTCTCACTTAAAGAAATTGGTCCAGATGATATGATTTTAACCTTTTTGTTAATAACTACATTAATTAACTATTATTGTCTTATTACAACGTAATGTTATACTTGGAACCGTTTGATTTTTCCAATCATTTGTACGCTACTTTCACATGTTCATGCTGCTGCTGACAAACACACCCACAGCAACAAGACTCCTGATGGCCGAGGTGTCCCTGAACGCAGCAAACTCTTAATACTGGCTCACATGACAAAAAGTCAGATCATCAAACGTCCCCAACCCCAATCTTATCAAGCAAGCGATGGAGTGATGTTAATACTGTGGCTGATCGCTGCGTGTTTGACCCTGCAGTCCAAACCTCTGCAAGTCTGGTTCTCAGCTGTCCCGGCTGCTTCTTTGCGAACAATCGGATGACTTCAGGCGTTTTGAATGCTTGGCTGATGGCAGCTTGGATTGCCTGGTGGAGATAGAACCAGATCTTGAACATCCACAAAGAACAAATTGCTTTCTCTCTACAATCACAGAAATCATTCAGTCAAACTGAGATTGACGTCCCCACCAGCTGCATCCCACTAAGTTCATCCACCAGTGTCATGTCTCCTGTCATTATCTTCTTCAGGGAGTCGTTGAATTCACCCAGCTGCTCCAGGGTCTCCCTTTTTGTCTCCTCGTACTCTTCCTCATCCAGCTCTTGCCTGGAGTAAACAAACAAACGATAAGAAACGAGACCAGATAAAAGGGAAGTAATTGATTCCTCTGCCCTGCACCTGCAGTCCTCCAGGTCCTGGAGCTGCTGCATCAGTCTGTCGAGCTGTTCCTCCATGTTCTGCTTCAGTTTGCTGGTTTCCGACTTCCCACGAGAAGCCATTCTCTGTTCAAAATTCGGTTTCAAAACAAGAACTGATTATGCTGAGCGATGTATGACAGACTGCCTCTAAGAGTTAAAGCTCGTACAATCTGATATTACGGCTGTTATAACAACGGTTTTATCAGTTTATAACACAAACACAAACAGAACTGATAAGCTGGTCGATTAATATGTTAAAGCTTCCGTGCAAACAGTGAAAGTAGCATAGTAAGCTTGTAGCAAGCTAGCATTGCTAAAAGAAAGCGTCTCACCGACACTCCCTTGTTTGTAAACAGCTGTAAACGGGCTGGTGGAAGTTTTTTGGCTCAGCTTGAAGTGGTGTACCATAAAACAACCAGAAACACTAAAGAAAGACCCACATAAGAGTAAAAACATAAATAAACGAAGCGTTTACTATGTGACTTGGGCCGTGTGACTTGAGGATTTGTGGTTGTGAACGTAACTCAGCAGCGTGAGGTGCCGTATGGCAGCCTGTTGTAGCCTATATTCAAACATTCACTGACTTTTTAAAACTATCAGTACTGTAATAGAGTTTCTTTATTCTTCTTTTGGCTGCTCCCTTCTTCAGGGGTTGCCACAGTGAACTAACTCGCATGAAGACTTGACAATTGTTTTTGCGCTGGATGCACTTCCTGATGCAACCACAGACCACCGAGCTACCACAGCCATCTGTGTGGAGCAGAGCTCCCATCTAGGGTGCCTGGGGAAGCAGATGGTGGGGGACTAAGGGCCTTGCTCAAGGGCCCAGAGTGGGGCAAATGAGGGTGGAGTCATGTGTGCGTGTTTTCTCGTTTCACCTTTCCCACACACATTTTAATGTTATTGGTCTGGGGAGTTGAAGCGGTGACCTTCTTATAACAGGCCCACCTTCTCTAGCCTCTGCTCCACCACTCCCTTTCAAAACAATATTCATACTTTTTAAAAAGCGATCTAAATAAACAATAGTATAAGTAAATACTGTATTTCAAGTGCTTCACATACATCACTGCAGTAGGAAATTAAATGTCAAGCACATTTACCATTTATTGACTGCATTGTAAAATTCAGAGAGAGTCTTTTTTTTAGTCACAAAGTATACCCCAGTTATCCAGACTGTCATTCGTCCTGTCTAAACGTATAATTTCAGATATATCAAACTCCTGGAACAAAAGGCAACGCTTTTAATGTTGAGACTCCAGATTTCTTCAAGTAAATTTTATTAATCAATTCTAAAATAAATATTGCATTTCAGAAATACACGGCATGGATGTTACATGTTTAATGCAAAATTACACACCATCATGTTCTTGACAAACATTTGAGATTTTATTTTAACATCAGTTACTGATGTTTGGAAAAAGTAATTTAATTAGTCATAATATACTGAATACTAACCTGTATAAATAAAGGTCAAATGAATATCCCCTTTTGGTGAAATTGACTGTATTAATTTTTATCTACAACAGTTGCTTAATTGATGACTAAAATAAAAAAAAAGGCTAGTAAGAGTGAGATTTTTAATATTTGACATTATTGTTTCTCCTTGTGCAAAATAAATCATACTTCAGTATTTCAGATATCCACAATGTTCAGTTTGAAGAGAAACATATTCTTGTAATTTCTATAGTTGACAACTCACATTGACACAAAAAATATTGTCTTTAAACAAATAGTCTATGGAATATCTGAAGGGCTGATTCTGGATTATATTTTCCAAAAATGAAATGTAAATTCTGACGAGAAACCTTTAAATTTGAAGAACTTCCTCCAATAATTATATGATAAATCGGCTTCCCTTAATTTTCTTTTATCCAATCAGATTTGTCGACTGAATCGTACAATCTTACGTCATCACGTACAGGAAGTGATTGACAAATGTCAACGCATCTAAACATTTGTTTCTGCAGGTAGTTCACGACGGAAATATTATACTTTTAGTTGAAAAACCATGACATTTACGGTTAGATTTATATTGTAGTTCATGTTTTATTTTCTCAACAGGTTTTGTTTTACAAAATTTCGGTGGTTCTTACGTATAAAACTACATTTAGGCGTTAAGGAAGATTTCATAGAGTACAGCTTTTAGCTTCTCTTAATTAAAAAAAGTTTTGCTGTTTACTCTTTTTAGGTATACATTATGTGAATCGGCTTTCAATAATAATAAAAAAAAGTTCAAAATACATCTCATCTAAAGGCCACACTTTTAATCAACTTTTGTGTTTGTTGCAGAGTAAAACCAGTCCCAGCATGAGACATGGAGGATCAGAATTTGTCTAAAGTGGTTTTGTTGGCCTGTGGATCCTTCAACCCCATCACCAACATGCACCTGAGAATGTTTGAACTGGCTCGAGATCATCTGGAAGACACAGGTTGGGTGAAATGAGAGTGAAGTGTTTACAGTGATCCTGATTCTTATGTTTCAGTCGGTGTAGTTCTATTACAACGTAACATTAATTTAGGATCATTTTCATAACATTTCACAGAATGATATCTTTAATCTGAACAGAACTCTGCAGGGTCAAATATCACACATGACTGAAGAAGATGTCAAACTCCTTCCTTACGAAGTAACAATGCAACAGAAACGATGGTATAAAAATACTCTTATAATTGAAGGCATGACATATTCATCTCAGTCTAGAAATGTGTTAGTGTTTCAATGTTTGCAGCCAGCTGTTGTTTCGACACAGAAAACTTAAAATGCTCCCAGTGGTTAGGCCACAACCATAAATGTTAGCACTGTCATTCATATTAAGCTGTGCATGAATAAGAGCAATGTTTTAGGTAAAATGTGTTTAAATAATATAAAATTAATCTCTAATGTCATAATTTAACTCATTCAAAATAACAATGTTACTTGTGCCAATTTATGCCATTGTATTTTTAGATTAATATTTCTACGGATAAATAAAATTGTAAGACTGTGGTATTGAAGCCTTTTGGAGCTTTTCTCCTTATTTTACCTGCATTAAGAGTGTCATGTATTAAAAAGAATCTAATTGGAATAATCAGGAGAAGTAAAACACAAACAAAAATTACAAATAGCATTTGCTTAGTACATATCTATACATACAGACCCTTTCCAAAAAATTTGAATATCATGGAAAATTTGTTTAACTTCCATAATTCCATTCAAAAAGTTAATCTTTTAATAGCTGATGGATCAGGGCCCAAACAATTGCGTTGATCCACTCTGAGAAGGTGCTATTTATAAGACTGAGCTGAATACAGCACCTCAGACTGAGGAAGTCTCTCGGATGAAAGATGAAACGTTTCTACATTTTTTTTTTTTGTTGCTTTGTTTAGTTTTATGAATGTCCAGAGGACCAGATTTAACTTTTTTAGATACTGACTGAATATATCACTAATGCACATGTTTGGGAAACCTAGGAGAGATGTGCTGGTTTCTGTTCATGCTTTGTTATTAACATTGTCTGAATTTATTGCTGAATACTTGAATCTGTACATTATGCATTTTATAATGAACTAACCTCTTTCTGTAAAATAACTTGTTAAAAAATGTGGCTGTTGTGATGTATTAGTATACTTTAGAATTAAATGCAAGTATTGAAGTGTTTGAAAACTGAATAGTACAAGCAGCTGAGTGCTGCAGGGTTCTTTCAGGTTCTTCAGATTCATGAAACACAACTTATATGAAGTGGCATTTTAAAGGTTTAATTTTTCAAACAGTGCTTCTTGAAATTTATTTATTTATTTCTCAAAAAAAACAAAACTTAAAGCTATTTAAAACTCATTCAATACTTTTTTGGAATTGCTTATTTACTAGATTTTAATTTGAACAAAAATGCTGAAAAATATTAAAAGGCACCTTTACAATGTTTATAATTTTCCTAAATCTAATACAGGAAAAGGACTTGTTAAAAATGATGTAAAACAGCACTTGCAATGCATAACTTAATAATTCCTTATATGTTTGGATTCATGATTGTATTAAATTTAGCTCCATGTTCTTGTGTTTTGAAACACTAAACTACATCTTCTTCACTGCTCCTTTGTGTCTCAGGTCAGTACAATGTGGTGAAAGGAATCATCTCTCCTGTGGGTGATGCCTATAAGAAGAAGGGGCTGATTGAGGCTCGTCACCGTGTGGAAATGGCCAGACTGGCCACAGAAAACTCAGGATGGATTACAGTCGATCCCTGGGAGAGCCTGCAGCCCGAGTGGGTGGAGACATGCAAAGTTGTTCGGTAACTTTAAAACTCCTCCGACACCTGAGTTCTTGTGGAATTTCTACAAATTACTATTAGTCTAAACATCTTATTTTACTGTGCATCACTGACATTAACAAGACGACCTTAATGATTGGAACACTGACAATAAACAAGCTCATCCTTAATGCTGCTGATTTAAACGCAAACTTTACTGGATTGGAATTTAATCTTTGAGACATATGCTTTTTCCACATATCGTGCATAAAATACTTGACATTACTCTAAATCATAAAGTTTGGCTCACCAAAGATTTCCTAGTTATTCCATTTGTAAAAGCCTTGTTTTTTTTCCCGTGTCATACTATCTTTGTTTTTCTTTGGTTTGTTTTTTTTAACTACAAAAATGGAGTTAACGAAATTTATAAAGCCATCAAAACATGTGACTCCTGTAAGATTTATTCATTCAACATTTATTTATCCAGGTTAGTCTCATTGAGTCACGAGTCACTTGTCTTAACAGACGACATATAAAGTACAGACAACGAGAAACTACAATAAAAATGCAATTAAAATCAAAGTAGTGTTATAAAACAATAAATCAAGGTGCAGTATAAAACAAGGTAAAATACTAAAAGCAAGAACATATTTGCTTTGATGTTTCTATTGACCTTATCAAATGTTTAAAACCCCCTAAAGAAATTAAGGTGGACAATATAATACCTCTGAAACTCACATTATTGTTATCACTGTTATTATAATTGTTAGCATCTTTTTTAAAAAAACATTGAATATTTAAAAGAAGATTATTTTTCCTTGTTGGTTGATCTTGTGAAGTAAAAACATCCAGATAGCAAATTTTCTTTAGCTTACAAAACTCGTATAATTTACAACTTTTACATACGTAGAGCTAAACAAAGCTTTTAATTGGAGTTCCTGTTACAGATTATTTCCTGCTACGGTAACGGGCTGTAATGAAAGAACAACAGAACGATTAAATGTGGTGCAGGATAATTGTTGGGATGAATCATTAGCATACCTCCCAGTACTTCGCACCTATAAACAGGTTGAAGTAATGGTGTAGGATAAAAATAGAATAGTTTCTTGACCCACAATCAACAAAATAAGGTTCTTAAAAGCCAAAGTTTAAGTCTAAATTGTGTTTTCATTAAAAATCTGCTCTTTATAAATAAATGATTTAATGTGATGATGATTTTTTGGGCTCTGTATGACTTCTTTTTTTATTTCTGCACACACAGGCATCACTATGAAGAACTGATTGCAGCCGAGCATAACATCGACGATGTGGACACAGTCAAGTGTGCAAAAAAGAGACGTGTGGAGGAGAAATATATTGACAGTTCAGCTCATCCGAAAAGAAAAGGTGTGATATAAAAACATTTTTATTCCAGTAATCCAAACATTATTTTAATGTTTTTAGTAAAACCTCCCTGACATAGTCTTTAATTTCAGAACGGGAACAAGTCTGTTATATTTCCACTGAATATAAAATTAAGCTTAACAGAGAATACAATAAAGTAAAGCTGTGGGGGTGGCACGGTGGTGCAGTTTGTAGAAATGCCGGATCAAATCTTGACTGGGGGCATTCAAGGTGGAGTTTGTATGTTCTTTCTGTGCATTTGTGTGTTTCCTCCGGGTACTCCAGTTTCCTCCCACAGACCAAAAACATGCATGTTAGGCTGATTGGTAACTCTAAATTGTCCGTAGGGGTGTGTGTGTGTGTGTGTGTGTGTGTGTGTGTGTGTGTGTGTGTGTGTGTGTGTGTGTGTGTGTGTGTGTGTGTGTGTGTGTGTGTGTGTGTGTGAGAGAGAGAGAGAGAGAGAGAGAGAGAGAGAGAGAGAGAGAGAGAG